AATTTGGAAAATACAAATAAGTCTATCTTCTGAATGAGTGGTAGTCCACTCTTCAACACACTTGACGATTTCAGACTTCCTGTGCACTCGTCAAAAGTTTACTACTATACGGTCTATCGTATAATGAGACTTCGAAACTAATCAACCACTGTTAAACTTATGTCTTTACAGATGAGAATCGTAAATAATAGAAACCAGAATTCCTATAAAAACGATAGTATGAATACATATTAACAAATGAGCAGATATTTCAATGACCTGAAATTCTGAAAAGTGCAAACAATTTTGATTATCAGTTGATATAGACTCATAATAATATCCTACCTTCAAATCTATTGGATCCTACCCACCCTAACCCCCACCACCACCACCACCAAACACTACCTAAACAGTATACAAAACATACACTTCAAAACTAATCTAATACTTACTAGTAACTGACTCGAAGATGAAGTCGCCTGGAATTCTAGTCAGAATTTGTAACCAGTGAGTTGGGGTCGACTAAGTTGGGTTTAAGGATAGATATCAATTGCTCAGATGCATTCACTCTTTATAATGATCTGCCAGGTTCATTTTACCCTCAAATTTTTCCATGTTAATATTTTTTCCTTCCTTAAATTTCTGCTTGTCTTCATTTATCTACCTTTGTGTGCTACATTCAATGTGGCAAAGTGAAATGCTGCTGCTCACTGGTCACGACTTCTCACTAGAACTCAGGAAACTCCAACCTGTAGCAAGTCACTAGCGAGCATCAGATTAATTTTTTATAGTTTGGTTTGTAAGGGTGAGGTCCAATTAGATGTTACGTGTGTGGATGGGTGTCCCACCAACGACAGTGGGTGGGGCCGCCCTAAATCACGAATTGGTAGAAGTTAGAATTCATGAGCCATTGAATCGGGTCCCAGTGGCTGAATGGTATACGAGCTTGCCTTGTAACCGGAAGGTCCTGGGTTCGAATCCCAGTGGATGCGTACTGGCGATGATTCCCAAACTAGGATGAAACAGCAGCTGTCCAGTACTCCCTGGTTTTCAATGCTTCTCTAACTGATATCAATCCGTGATCAACTCGTAAAAAAAAGAAAAACATAGAATAATCATGATTATTATCATTTTTATTATTATTATTCCTGTTATAACAATTAAACATTAATAGTAACAGTAGTGTTTCATAGGAGTAAATGAAGAACATAAAAATTTTGTCAATATTTATTATTTTTTTCGTGATCCTAGTTTTCAAATAACAAAACAAAACCGGAAAAACGAGAACGTGAAACATAGGGCGAATAATAGTAATAATAATAATAATAATAATAATAAAAGAACAAATGCACTGGGATAAGCGAATATTCATTTTATTTTTCTTCCGTTATTGTTGTTGGTGTTGTTGTAGTCGTGGGTTTCAACAAACAAAAAACACTTAACCCCCCCCCCACACACACTTTATCCACATTCGTGTAAATAGTACAGAGGATTTTTAATCTTTGTATATATTGTGTGTATGGGTGGGTAGATGGATGGCTCTCTGTGCGTCCCTGTTGATGTTTGTTCCTGTGGATGTGCGTGCGTGTGTGTGTGTGCTTGTAGTGTGACTGAACTCTGGTACTCCTCATTTCCTGCTGGGACAGCAATATTTTAAGGTTTCCATGTTTGTGTGTGTGATTGATGTATGATTACATAGATGCAAATGTATATTCTCCTATCTATGCGTAGATGTACACATTTTTCTCAAAACCTGTTTGTTTGTGTATGTTAACATGATCAGTGTCAGTGTCAGTTTACCACCGAAACATCCTGGTCACTAAAATATTATAATCGTCACCTCCACCTAGCTGCCTTCTGCCTAATCCTTTCAACGTAAAAACACCTGGATTATTCATCAGGAGTTGACAATTATGTTGGGGTAAGAAAGGAAAATAAATTAAACCAAATAATACAAGAGAGACTACAAAAGAGATGGAGGGGACACGGACACGGGGGGACACACACGCACGCATACACAAAACAGAGACAGAGGTAGTGTTGTAATGATGGTAATAATAATAATATCTTAACTCAAAACTACTCCTGTCTTACACAATATAAATGTGAATAGAAAAGTGTCTTGACCATGGTCTTTAACACGGTGTTTCTACTTCCTCTCCTTTCATCATGGTTCTTCGAAGAAATTCTGTCTTGAAGTGAAATTACACAGACTGGTGGAGGGTGAGAGTTGAGGAGGGGATAAATCGATAAAATGAGGAGAAAATGTTTCATACTTATCAGTACCCAACGCTTCCTCTTTTAAGTCTAATCAGTATTAAATCATAATTAGTTTATAATTTAAATCTACACAAACACGTACAAAAGAGTCAATAAATTGTTTTCTTCCATCTCTGTCAGTCTCTCTCTCCTCGACGTGTACACACTATACAGGCATACATACAAACGTGATGAATGAATACATACTTCCATATACTGAAGGAGTTGGAGGAGTGTAGAAGCAAATCAGGGGATGAATAAATACAAAGAAAGGCGACAACAACAACTGGTTACCACAGTGATGAAAAAGAAAGCGTAAAACAGTACTAGCAGTTGGAAGAGCAACAAGCAGAGCAAAAGAAAGAAAGGCAGTGGGGAGTAGAAGGCCGCCTGAAAATATGTCATGTTTACTAATCTGCTAGATTTGTCTTATAATTTTACTTTGCTTGCATTACACACACACACAATCAGTTATGTGTTAGTCGCTGTCTATCCAAAGTTGATGCATGCCATCTCGGAACTGTTTTTTGTAATTAGGATAAGAGAGAAACAGAGAAGGAAGGTTAGGAAGGAAAATACTACACATGAATTCGCGTGTGTGTGTGTGTGTGTGTGTGCATATGTTCCTTATTGTGGTGATGGTGGTCAACTGACGAAATTACAAACGACTAGGATATGAAAAGTCATAATTTACGAAGGAAAGGTATCAAAATGGTGAAAAAATATATATGTGTATTAGGGAGTAGAAATAAACAATGAGACGGATATACAATGCACAGATACACTTATACATGCACAGTCAAAATTATGAGGTATGTCTTCACCAGGTTTCTGCTTTTATGAAGAAGGGAATATTATCAGAAAAATACACACAGACACACCCACAGAGAGATCATATGCACAAAATGAACTCATGAATTTCCTGTTTGTTTGAAAGATACACACGCACGTGAAGGACAGTCAATAAAAACGAGGGTGGGGTGGGTCCAAAGGAACTGCTCTATAATTTATTACATGATTTTAACAGCAGTCTAATATAATAATTATTATTAATAACCAATAATGAGAGAAGCAAATAATAATAATGTCAACACAATACATTTCTGGGGGCGATTAGGGGGGCGGGGTGTAGCGTGAAAACCACAACAAAATGAGAAAAAGACAGTCAAACAGTGACACCCAACTAATATTGACAAGAAAACAAAACGTGTGGTGTTTAGATCAAGATTGGGCAAAGTTAGCATGTGTGTGTGTGTAACAGTAACATAGCAAGAGCTTCCCCTCCAGCAACGCACACACAAAATGTATACGACAGTTATGATCTTAAAAAAGAAACAATAAATGTTTACAGTTGAACTTTGTTTCTTATTTAAAGTCTTACACTTCATACAAGTGGTACGTCGGTGGGAAAGAGAAGTGGAGGCGGATACTGACAGAAACTGAAGGACATTTCTGAAAGATTTCGTCTATAACGAAATGATGAGTAGTGAAATAAATAGTGTTCACACACGGGGATGAAAAGATAAGCGTGAAACATACACGCACACACACTGGTGCACATACATACAAACAATAAGTGTTCTCATTGGGAAAAATAGGGAAGAGAGAATCCACGCTGATCGATTTCTTCTATGGGAGACTTATCTATCTCCATGCTTTTTGTTCTTCTTGTTGTTGTGTATTATTGTTACTTTCAATCGATTTCATTTTATATATTTGTATGTGTATTGTAAAGAACTGTGTTAATCTACGTGTGTCTGTATGTGTGTGTGTGCAAAAGAAAGGAAAAAACGGTTTTGTTTATTTCAAGCATTTTTCCTCACTATACAATTTACGTAATGACAGTAATGATAATAATAATAACAATAATAAAGGAGAGTAAAATTCATTCACTGCCAAAAACATTTGTACTGAGTTATTTATATACGCATTTATAAGTAGGGAAACAACAGTGGTACTCCACTCCCCCTGTTTTTGCGTATATGTGGTGATAAATGATTGCGAGTATGCGTTGCTCAGACACACATACAGACCCGCACACATATGCGCACACAGAGAAGAGGAAGAGACAAATGGATGACATCAATAGATTCAATATTATCTACTACTACTACTAATAATAATAATAATAATAATAATGTAATAGTGCCTATATTCTCAATGAAGTGATATATCCAACAGGTGACTATGTATGTAATGTAATGTGGTGTGGTGTGGTGTGGTGTGGTGTGGTGTGGTGTGGTGTGGTAGTTGTTTGCATAATATGACACCTGCCAAGAATCTTTGATGAAGAAACAATGTGAACGAAAGACAATTCATGCGAAAAATTGACTCATTATCAGTTATTAGAATAGTTAGGATAAAATATACGATGATTCTATTGTGGATCGTTTACTCTCTCTCTCTCTCACTCACTCCAAATTAATGATTGATGACATGCCAGTGACATATGAGTAAAGCTTTGATGATTTTGATGAAGCCATCTAGACTACTGATAATAACGATGACAATGATGATGATGATGATGATGGCGATGACGATGATGCATACAGTAATTGAAATAATCAGATTGTTCATAGGTGAGTTATTCCATTTTGGAGTAAAATTTCACAGATAAGATACCAAAATGATTTGAGGAAAAGCTATGTCAACTCTATTATCAACACATCTCAAATTGACTTTAAGGTGTTTTCTTTGTTTTTGTGTGTAAGTGTAAGAAGTACTGATTTGCATGTAATCCATTTTTTGTTTATACTCTATAATTAAATTGTAGTATACTTTGTAGGATGACGTAATAAATTGGGCACAAGACGAATAGATGGCCATTTTCTTGAATTTGAATTAGATGCTGATGTTATAACATTGTTACTACTACCGCTGCTACTGCTACTGTTGCCTACACCATTGTCACCGGCTTCAAGGTTATCACCATCATCAACACCACTCACACTCTCATTCACTTGAGTAGTGGTGATAGTGGTAGTTGTAGTAGTAGTAGTAGCAGGAGTATTGTTCACCACTATCATTATGTTATCTGTAGAAATTACATCTTCGCTTGTTTCAATTGTATTATTATTAGTATTATTATCGAATGAAGTGTAAACAGGATCTAGAGGCATTTGAGACATTCGTAATGTGGATGACTCTTCTGATAAAAGTTCAGTAGACGGTGGATTATGTTCACTAACATTTATTGACTTGTTGACGCATTGTTTATCCAATACTGTCGGGCTTAAATACCAATGATGGAGGGAAGGAAAAATCAAAGAGAAAACCAATCATAGATAGTGCTATTGTCAATAGACATTCACAGGCATTTATACACAGAATTAATAGTTGTAAATAAATACTACCAGGTAGCCAAATTCAAGGAATAGCTTACAGACTTACAGGCAGAAACTGTCGGCTTGAAAACGAAGATAAACACATACACAAACATACAATAAATGAGTGAACTGAGTACATATTCAAATAAAAACTGAAATCATTTAGGATTTTATGATAATCACTGTTTTCCTTTTGCAGCTAGCTGCTTAGTTCTGCTTGATTCTTACTGATTTGTTTACAAGCCTGTTAACCATCAGTCTGATAATTACTGGAAAACCAGGGAGCATTTGGGCCTGTTTCATCTTGGCCTTGGGACTCTTCATCAGTGCGAACCCACAGGAGTTCGAACCCGGGATCTTCCGTCACTGGTACCCCATTCAATCTCCCGTGAATACCAACTTCTGCGACTTCTTACTAGAACTCCAGGTGACCTTCTGTGTAGAGCTAGTTGCCAGTAAGCATCAGATCAATTTTCAGGTGTTGGTTTGCAGGGATTTGATTGATCACAGATTTGATCACGAATGGTCTCTATCTCACTCATTCATTCTTGCTGAATCTCCACAAATTGGACTTCAAGACGGATTATCTGATGTTTTACGGATCAAATAGACGTTATTTTAACACGAAATTTGACCAATTCTCAACTGTTTTATATCGTCCTACACTACATGGAAAATATTTCTGGAATTACTAGCAGAATATTGACACCTGGAAATAGTTTTTGCTCATAAACTAGCGTTATCTCTTCACTTTAAAGTTTATATACCAAAAGATCTGACAATGAAAGAAGATAAGACTAATATCATCTATAAAAAAAGGACTGCATGACGAGCGGAAAACACTGAGTTGGCCAAAATGAATGTCTTCTTCATGTTCGTATACGCGAACACAATGTAGAAGTTAAAGGATGAGACTAGCATTAGCCATTCTCAACTGTGGATATCCAATCAGCTGTGACAACTTAAAAACCTTAGACATAGGAAACATAAAGAATGTCAGGGAATCCTCAAGGGTTTGTCACCCAAATGAATCTACAATTTATTATTACTATTATTATTATTATTAACTTGGGTTCCGAGTGAAACATAGGGCCTCAAAAGAACACCACCATTTTATTCCCTTCTCTTCAATCCCTTTTAGCTGGCACCACTATCTACCCAGTGTCACACCCGGACACAACTGACCCAAATGGTTGTTTCCCAAACGGGGTCCCCTCCAGGGTTTTCCTGAAGTATGATACCACTCAACGGTCTCCTCAACATTTATCTAAACTATCTCATTCTTGGTTGGTTTGCTGTCCACCACAAATCGATCTTCAGTATGAAACAGAAGCAGCTATCGATAAAAGTATGAAGCCTGTTTGAAGCGCTTTTTGGTAACACAGAAGCACTGACTGACTTGACATCAGTGTTGAGAATCCTTATCTTATTGATTATGCTGAGTGTAGTAGATTTCCACATCAATTTCAGAGCAATGTAGGTCTGTCTCGCCTTTCCCATCCTGGCTCCTTCATCCTTATCATTGCTACCTGTGGTTGAAATCATGCCGCTTAAATAAGTGAATCCCTCCAAATTCCTCCCGCTGATAGAGACTGATGCTTGTCGTTGTTGCTGGTTAGTTAACTTCGCCACCTCTATCTTCTCTATGTTTACCTAAAGTTCCATCTTCACGGCTCACCTCTTCAGACAACCTGTTGGTTTTTACCTGTAGATCACCGAGTTTACGTGTCATCTGACATAAATACTCCACAAAGTCCAAACCTCTAAAATTTGTTTGTCAACTCAATGTAATCCTGTCTTCTCAATATCCATGGTCTGTAGCATAATCTGGTCCACCACAGTCAGGAATATCATCGATGATATCTTTACTTCATATGCACCGCTGAGTTATCCGTCCTGATTCACACGACATGTAGAATTATTATATAGCTGTTGAATAAGCTTGATAAAGGTTTGGAGCACTTGTAGTACTTGTAGCAGCAGTTTCAAACATGTGAATATCGACCAAATTTATCGATAAATAAAAGTGATATCACATGACTAAACGATCTAATATCAAGTTATCGAGAAGACAGATAACAATATGGGTGAATGTCATCATAATAAAATCCACCAGGACAACCAATCACAGTGAAGGTCACCAAAAGAGACATATTTCATCTGCGAATAAATTCCTAAGCCTCTTTTACACACATTGAAGTTAACGTGCTGAAGATGTTGTCACAGTGAAACCAGACATCTAACCGGAATACAACAACACGAAACATATTCAAACATAACTAAGGATAACAATTATTAGCTCCTGTGAACTGGCGTTATTTCAATTCTATGCCTACTGAGAATAAAAAGCACGGTAGTCTATGGAATTTCGGTTTATTAAATACTCATTTTGTATGTCAAAAACAAGTGGTAACATATTCAGGATAGTACAACAACATGCTCTGTCAGCACGCAAAAATACACACAAATTAAGCGTAGAACTACAAATTTCTTAGATGCTTGACTTCACCATTAGCTTTTCCATTATCGGCTTCAAAGTGCAGTGTTGCGAAAAATATAGAATTTGCTTGGATGGAAGAGAAGTGTAGCTATATATATTTAAATTATTACAAAGAAAAGAAGCAGTAATACTGCTTACCTCATTATCGTCATCATTTCAATATCCGATTTCGATGACTCTAAATCATTGTCAATATCCATTAACTGATTGTCTAATTCACCGTTAGTATCTGTCGAAGTTATTGTTGCTAAACTCATAGCAGTAGTCACTGGAATTAATGACTGTAATTCATCATTCATATTCCCAGTGGTAGCACCAATAACTGACGATACTGGACTTGTTGGCGTTGGTGTTGTCGTTGTTGTAGCGATAACAGACGTGTTAGCGTACACTGGCGAAGAATGAGGCGTTTGATTATCAGCATTATTATTATTATTATTCACAGGACTTTTACCATCACCAGTATCAGCATCCTCAACACTATCACCATTACCCTCACGATTATCATTGCTAAGATTCTCATTATAGCCTGTAGCGACAACTGTCAACGATGTTGTTGAAATGCCAATTGAAGGATTCATCATTTCAGGTTCTGTTTTAATAAAGTTCGTTTGATTCAGCGAGGATGTTCTACTTAGGAGAGTTTCTTGACTATTATTATTATTGTTATTGAAGCCTGGTAAGAGTAGAGCTGACAGTAGTGGAGATGATTGAGATGGAGTTGTCCCCGAACTCGAGACAACTCCGCGAAGCGGTGTAGTTACTTCTGGAGAGAAGCCTGATTTCGGTGATGATTTGGATGGATTATACGATTCTGTTGTGGTTGTTAATGCATGAATTGGTGAAGACAAGGATGTAGAATGCATATCGACGAGCATCATTGTGTCTGTGCTTGTTATTACTGATGGTTGCGTTTGTTGCATTGGATGTGAAGGTGGTGTCAGTGTGCTCTTCGATGCATCTTGCGTTGTGGCTACAACTTCAACTCGTGCAGATTTCACCGAACCCTAAAAGTAGAAGAAGAAGTAGAAATAGCCAATCATTTGCTACTTAGACAGATACATGAATAGAATTCAGGCGCCACTGTAGATTGTAATCCCATCATGGGGTAAATTTATTTCATAAAATCACACAATTATACAGTATTAGGTACTGATGTCGTTTCGGGTACAATTTATTACTGAGCACAACGATATCAAGCTTCAGTGGCTTTAATTCGAATCTCAGGCAGGGGACATGAGTTCCTTCAATTTTGCAGTTGTGCCTTGCTCATCAGTGTCAAAAATCACAAAACCCAGGTCCTAAGCTATCTGGTGACTGCTTCAAACCATATCATAACAACAATTCAGAGTGCACTGTGATAGTGAGCCATGTAGAATGGTAGCCATAGTTCAAACTTGACTGAGAGAATTCAGTCTGTTCTAGACACGTTAAAATACCTACTACCTCGTTTCCGATCAACAAATTAAAGAGTTGAACAGATATTTTTGGTGGCGTACATACTACTGACTGATCGTTACGAGTGTACCAACAGAAGACAAGGGCCAGGAAACAGATCGTTTATTAAAGAAATCAACACGTATTTATTGATTTTCATGCACATATTATAGATTATTGTTATCAGAAAAACACAGTCTTCTGATTGGTCGTTTCTCACTGAAAGTCAATCTTTTATCTCTTTGTGGCTGTTTCTTGAATGTCAGATCATCTATATGCTAACTGTATCCGCCTACGCTAATTCCGCTGTGGTTGGTTTTCGAATCAGTCTTTGTTCATATTTTCTCACGACCAATATTGGGGACGTAAACATTGGCGTAAATTACTGTCTACTAATTTGGCTAGCAGCCAACTCTCACCACACGAGTAGTTGGGAACTAGTCACATCAAGTAGTAGTGCATAATAACCAGAAAGATGTTATCTCAACATTACAAGGTCTTTTTGCTCATTTTTCGCAGAAGTGATCGGTGGTGTACCCGTCTCTATTTAAGTTAGACAGGTGCGCCGGTGCCGCAGCGGTAGAATGCTCGCCGACCACGCATGTGATTTTTGTGTTCGACTCCCGATCGATGCACTCCTTTACCACTCTAAGCTGGTAATAAGACTGGTGGGGAGTGAAGGTTTGGCATGAGACTAGCGACCGCATCCCGTAAAAATAAATACCACTGCTACCGAAAATTCAAGCCTCTAGCTTGAAGCCTTGTGTTCCACTGGGGACGTGAAAGAATAAAAAAACCAAATTCTGGCTAGCTGGCTAATAGGATGAACTGATAAGACACAGAATCAAATTTACGATTAATAAATTTCACAGTTCGACGTGAAAATTCACTACGGTTTTCTTTGAAAATCAGAAAAATTCAGGTCAGTGTTCTCCTTGGTACTGTAAGTGGAAATCAAGAAGGCAAGCATAATTCTATTAAGGTGTATACTACTGACTGACTGATCGATTGATTGATTGATTGATTGATATGATTAGTTGGAAACCACACTCGAGTGGTTTGAACTGATTTAGATCTCTCTGGGCTGATTCGATCCGGTTGCATTGCTGTTAATTTGGGCTGTCTATTCTTAACATGATTTCGATATGACTAGTAAGCAATACTACTGGTTAGCGTCAGTGATTTCCAGCTATTCATATCAACTAATGAATTATCATTCAGTTTTGTTTGCATTCCTAATTGAAATTTATGCGAGTGTCTTCTGTCTTCAAAGAAAACTGTGACCAAATTCCACTTGAAATTCTGCGTGATTTATGTGCTAAGAACTTCATTCTATGTTGATATTTTTTCCACTTGACCTGAGTACTGACAAGATTGTTTTCTCTAAAATCTGTTGAAATTCACAGGAGATTTTTGTATATATATATATATATATATATATATATATATATATATATATATATGTACATGGCCAGTGTTGTATAGTTGGCTAAACTCTCTCAGTCAAACCAAATCAGCTAACTCTTGTAATAGTACTACACCTTCACTTGGTTTTTTAGATGATTAGAGGCAGTAGCTGACTACATTTCCATGCTTATTGGAAATTGTCGGTGAAACATATTTGAACCGTCAAGGAAATTGATGTCGTTCAGTGTTGCAGTCAAAGATATCATCGTTAAGGTATCTGGGGTGTCGATTGACCTCCTGTAGAACAGTTATAGTAGACTTATTGCTTGTTCATTAGTGAAAAACCAACTCCATGTGTCTAGTCTTTAGTATTGGTGCTGACTAAATTCCAAAAGTTATGTTTGCAATATAGAGTCACCAAACTAGGTGATTTTATTATCGTGGTACACTTCCATTTGATGTTAGATGATTGGTTGGATGAAATAGGTGAGATGGCGCTGATGTGCATGAAATTTCAAGCGTAATTAGTGTAACTACTCATTAGTAGTTGAAATATTGATTATATTTATACCTTAGTAGTTATTTACACACAATGATAAATTTTTTTCAATCAATGGTCAAACCAACTGTTGGAGTTGGTTTCAAAATAAAACTAAAGTAGTCAGTAAAAATATGACAATATTAACTAACGTACTTGATGTTTTGCTCCACTGCTATTGGGATACCAACGTCTATAATAGAATATAAGAAATAATAATTAAATTAGTTTGTAAAGTGTGTTAGTTAATAAATTACTCAGTCCAGTGAATGCTTACTCTACCTAATACTCATTCTGAAAAATTTCTTCATTGATTTGTCAGTCAGTTTCTCTACTAGGCTCCTAACTAGCTCTTCAATAGCCAATATTGCCAGTATTCTTATGTAACAGCACTATTTTGTATCAAAACTGGTGATGAATATCGATCCGACTAAAGTTAACAGTTAATTAAGACAGAAGCTGAAACATTTATACGAATTCTGATTACAATTTGACCGAATAGTTTCACAATAATTGTTCACTGAGTGTAAAGCAGATAAATGCAGAACTTATATGTGTATACACCTCAGGTAAAGTGAAATAAATAATTCTAACATTTTATTGCATAAACTTCTTTAGAGAAATAATCAAAATTAAAATATCAAAAGTACATATAAAAGAGGTTGAAACTTATAAAAACACTGACCAGTATGAACGACTATCTTATCTATATGTACTAGATTTGATCCTATCACTACACTGTCACAGCCTTGTAGTACTTAAATTTCAAATGGTATTGTGGAATTTCGCTGTGTATACTTGGCATCTGGTTTCATAATTATAAAGATCTGTGTAAAGTTTATTTCGTTGAGCTGAACTGTCTGTTTTACTTCAGAAACCGAGTCTAGCTGAAATCAATGAATAATACTTTGTTGATTAGACCATAGGGTTAATACAATTGAAGTTCTAATGTTTGCAGATCATTCCTTACAACTCAAAGTACATTGCATTTGCCTGATGCTAATAATAAAAAGTGGGCGTCGGTGGCACAGAGGTTAGGACGCTCGCCGACCATGCACATGGTCCGGGGTTCGATCCCCGACCGACGCAATCCTTTACCTCGCTAAGCCAGAAATAATGCTGGTAAAGAAGAAAAGGTTGGGCATGGGGCTAACAACCCCATCCTGTAAAAATAAACACTGCTACAGAAACTTCAAGCCACTAGCTTGAAGCCCTATGTTCCACTCGGAACGTGAAGGAATAAAAAAAAGTGTGTTAAATGAAAGCCTGCTTAAACATTATTGAACTTGTAAAACAATGAATAAGATATTGAAGCCTTGTAATCTTCAGGTTACGAGGCAAAGCTCATCAACAATTCACAACCATTTGGGTTAGAATTCGATGACGAGCGAAAATAATTTCCGTTGATTCTTGATACAAATCAATATCAGAGAATTATTTAAAACCTTGATAGAATCATGAGTGTACACTTCTGTTAAGTCTCAAACAAGGAGCAGCTGTGCAGCACTCCCTGATCTTCAATGATTTCTAACTGGTGTTGTTTCGTGATGAAATGTGAATTGAAATTAATTCATTTCCCTAAAACCTAAATAAAAATAAGATAGAACAAGTTGTCATACGACGATCGATCCAGTCAAATAGCAAGACTATTTGAAATAGTTTCACCACATCAATTACAAAACTCTCTCTCTTCTCCTTCTCATTTCATTATGATTAGAATTGTCAACATAACATCTAGATGGCCAGCTAGTGTGGTAATGATAAGTAGACCATAAAGTATCAGCCGTTCACATTTGACTAGTGAAAGGGAACACTACCCATTTTTTTCTTTCCTTCACGTTCCCCAGTGGAACATAGGGCCTCAAGCTAGTGGCTTGAAGTTTCTGTAGCAGTGTTTATTTTACAGGATGGGGTTGCTAGCCAGCCTTATGCCCGACCTTTCCTCCTTACCAGCATTATTTCTGGCTTAGCGAGGTAAAGCAGTGCGTCGGTGGCCGAGGTTCGAACCCCGGACCATGTGCATGGTCGGTGAGCGTCCTAACCGCTATGATACCGACGCACTTAAGACTTACCATAGTCATTGTATTTGAGTGGCATAGTTAACTTAGAGGATTACCGAGCTAGTAATCCAGAAGCTCTTTATTTCGAATCCTGCTACAACTCAGGTTTCCTCATTCCACCTTCAATCATCACCCACACTCCACCCCCAACATCAATAATAGTCTGTCAACCCAGGACTAACTATCTCAGCTAATCTTATCATTGATTACTAAAAAAGACTTAAGAATTTTTTTAAATATGAACGGTCAGTCAAATAATGTTGAAGAAATTCGATATAGGTATTGAGATTATATGAGACAGCTACGCAGAGATAATTTATCGAGTGAATCCTTAACCACAATTCACATACGCGAATGGAGTAACTACAGTCAGTTACCTTCATCCGGCTATACTGATTGACAACATAACAAGTCATTCTTCAGGTTTTATTGCCCGGCAGGATGGAATGTCCATCTGTTTCAAAGAGGGAGGTATTTGAAAAAACAGGATTCGGGTGGTAAATGGGTCACGAAATGACATAATATACGATCATCTCGATGGATTCATATGCAGTAACTGATCTGAACTAACACTAAGAACTACAATCAGGAATTAGAAGGCATTCCTAGGATTGTATATTATATAATATATATATTATATAATTATTCTGCCTTACTTCATTTATTCCCTATGTAAATTTCGTATTCAAAAAACGCCATTTTCAATATGCGGCTCACTTAATTATTTGTTCAAGGTTATTCACACTTGAATCATTATACTTTAGTTCAAGCAAACACTATACGAAATATACTACTTATGTGTGTGAGTATTTGCAGACCATTCAAATCGAAAAAAAGTGCTCCACCGACAACTAGAACTCCAGTGCTTCGAAAACTGAATTGGTTCTCTGAACTGAATCAATCTGTATAAGCCACTGATAATGCTGGTTACAAATGAGTGATAAGGGAATTTGGTGTTAAGTTCACCTCAGTTTTGACAACTGTCACTAGAAGTTGGTGTAGAAAACTTCAACTACACATATCGATAACTAATATGATATATGGATAACGGGATCAGTATTCTACTGCTCTCCAATCCTTGGAATTCATTGGTGAGAATTGCATGTGATGTTAAAGAATAACAGCCAGTAAATTCAACTTGACCTTTAATAGCTGACTGGGGTAAAAGAATGTTAGAGGCATTAAATGGAATCGAATCATGAGGGTTGTGAAATATTTTACTTACTCTGTATGCAGTTTTTTTCCCTAAATAGAAGCTATCTCTTCTTGAAGACCTCATTTATTATGCACAACTAGATGATGATGTAGAGACGCCTGTGTGATATGCGGCCACCGGAAACTGAACAGCATGGTCTCTATAGTGAGACGGTAAAGGAAGCTAGTTTGAGTTCAGGGCAAACTGATTACCCTACCCAACGATTGGTTCATCCCATAATCAAATCTCTGCCAAAAAACACCTAAGAATTCATCTGGCGCTCACTAGTGACTGACAACAGAATGAAGTTGCATAAAGTGACAGTAAGAAGTCAGCAGCAGCAGCCAAGTCAAACAAGCTGAGAACAAATATTCACAGATGCTATTGGTTGGCTGTTGCGCTATATATCATGAATACTAGAACAAGACTCACAGGCAAACAATGTTGTTTTCAGTCAGATCTTTTTCAGGCCTTACTTAATTTAAATATATTTTAAAAAATTAACCAACGACGTGAGTTTGTGGGTCGACACGTTGACAAGAACGAAATAGTAATAATATTTAATGACGCACATCTATCTATCCTTCATGTTCACTTGTGAAGAACATGCCTTAAATTACAATTCCTTGATGTCTAACTGAGCAGAAGACGGGATGGTTCGCTCAAGATGGATGTCTTCAGAAAACCTACATATGTAGGAAAATAAACACATTTCTTCGATTTTGTACCAATCCGATACAAAATCAGTTTGGTCAGATGCCTCAAGAATAAAGAATCTGTATAGATGACTCCCTAGAAAATGGATTCGGATACATCCAAAATACTCTGGTCAGAGTGGGTTATACTAGCAGAATTGTAAGGATATAACGACAGAAGACAAGGGCCAGGTAACACATCGTTATTTGAGAAAACCAAGAGATATTTGTAGATTTTTATGTATATTATTGTCAGCGGAGAAGCAAACTCTTCTGATTGGTTATTTTCTTGCTAAAGGTTATTCTGTACTGCTTGTGACCGTTTCTTAGAAAGTTAAGTCATATATCTGAGAATCGTATTTGTACACGTTACGCCTGCTGTGATTGATTGGTGAGTTCCTCACCGTTAAGCTTTGTTCTTGTTTCCTTCTCATGCCCCGATTCGAGACGTAAACATAGAGGTAAACTGTTGTCGACAATTTTGGCTTGCAGACAGCTCTCACCACAAGGAGAACCATGAATACCATGTATAATCAAGAGAAACCAACAGTAGTTAAAAAGAAACAACTGTTCCTGAAATCGCAATTCAACGCGGACGTGGCTGGTTAAATCCTAGATCTAAAATTATCTAAAGTCACAAAATAGACTTATGCTGCCACCACCCTTTGTTTGTCTTTTTCCAGCTGACCAGTTATGATTGCTCAAGCGAAAGACAAGCTAGCTGTGTCTAAGGAGAAATCTATATAGAGCAAGCAACTAGACGGCTCAACAAACAGAACATTACTGAGCATCTCCCTTCATGGCTTTAAAAAAAGGCCAAATAAAATCTATAAGAAGTTTTATTATGACTCGTTTGATTGATAGCAATCACTAAGTGGACAGAAGAAATCCCTTTAAAGTTATCTACCACATACTGTCGAACCTTTCGAACGGAATTCGAAATAGCCTTTTACACATTATTTGCATATATGTCTTTTTCTAATATTAACAATGAGAATATTTAAATATATCATGAATAGATAGAGGCTAAAACTCATGGGTCGCCTCTTGGATTTCATCTCATTGTATGAATATGGTCAACAAGTTCATCTTGTAACCAGAAAGTCTTAGATTCGATCATTAGTGGGTGGGGTGGTTGGTAATTACTATTGAAGAACCTCAAACAGAGACGGGACAGCTGTCTAATACTCGCCTGTTTCCAGTGGTTATTCAACTAATGTCAGTCAATTCATCGTTACACTTG